TTTTATTGACATCCCTACAAATTCTGCTTTTTAAAACCACCATCTGATACACATAATATTAATTGACACTACAGGCTCTTCCTTGATTTTTATACTTGTTCTATAAACACTTTACATTCCAACTCCCGGGTATCTGGTCTTCTTGTCCATGTGACGGCCCTCATCTCAGACACCTCACTGATAGGAAAAGCACACTTCCACAGACCTTGAGTTTGAGAGGGAGTTACAAAATTATTTAACACCAGAAAAAACAATTCTATAGCGTGAAAAACCTGCAAAACTGAGATAGAGAACTACTTAATTAATATTTTATCACTATATTAGTACATCTCATCAACTGCAGGGTCACTCAGCTCTCCTATAGTTAGTTATCTATAAATTATATTGAATCTTTAATTTGGGCACATTTTAATACATTTAATATGTTGTGTGTGGAGCTTCCAAAAGTGCCATTGCCTAGGACAGTGGTCGGCAAACCACGGCTCGCGAGCCACATTCGGCTCTTTGGCCCCTTGAGTGTGGCTCTTCCACAAAATACCACATGCGGGCGCACACATACAGTGCGAAGTTGACTTAAAACTTTAAGTAAAGTTTATTAAGTTAATTTTAGGGAACGTTGTGGAGTGAAAGAAGATGTAATGTCGAGGATTGAGAAAGGTATGTTGAGATGGTTTGGACATATAGAGAGGATGAACGAAAGGAGATAGATGAAACAAGTATACAAGACGAGTGTGGATGGGAGAGTTGGAAGGGGTCGACCTCAGCGAACGTACCTCAATCAGATTGAGGAATTTTTTAGCAAAGGCCAGCTTAGGAGTACCCTAATTAAGTTAATAACAATGTACCTACCTATATAGTTTAAATTTAAAAAATGTGGCTCTCAAAAGAAATTGCAATCGTTGTACTGTTGATATTTGGCTCTGTTGACTAATGAGTTTGCCGACCACTGGCCTAGGATGAGGGACATTGAAAGGTGGCCTGCTCACAAGGAGTAGAAGTGGGTCAGTGGGAAGCTGTGGCCTGGAGAGTGACCGAACAATGTACACTGGTGAGAGTTATCTGCTATGGGAGAGCTGGGAATCCGTGGCTTACTGGATGGAGAGCAGGAAGGTAGGGGACCTACAATGAAGATCCTGGGATTGCTTCCAAGTTTCTGACTTGGATGAATGAAGGATGGTACCCTTTGGGGAATGCCAGAGGAACAGTAACAGAGGCAAAAGTCTAAGAATGGCACTTTAACATATCCCAATGCCACGTTTAAAGTAAAAATGGCCTTCTTTTTCTTCCTGAATGAGTAAAAATGCATTCATTAAGCACACACATTCCCACATATGCTAACATCTGCTCTTCTGCAATCAAGTATTTTCTGTGTAGTGTCTAACTAGCTATTCCAATTGCAATAGTACTTAAACACTCCAATATGCCTGTTTGCAGCCAGAAAGAAAAACAGTTGCTATGACTATGTTTGAATGCATTTTAAATAATGTATAATCTTTGTCACTTTATCTGCTTTGCAATACTAGTTTCCTAAATAGTATTTAATATCTCCCTTTACTAAAAATGTCATTGTTCAGTATTATCATTAATGGTTTTCATCCTTATTATATGTCTGAATGTTAGAATTATTATTAATCTCTTTATTAAAGTGATAATCTTCAGCACAAAGTTTAATAGCCTTCTTTGAAACTATCACTATATGTTATTTAAAGCATTGTCCATCCATTCACTTTAAATGGGGCTTTCTTGCTGGGGTCCAACCCCAGCGGGTCCAGGGGGTCCCCAAAGGTGTGGACGGAGTCGGCGAAGAAGGAATGACATGGAGACTGGGTTCAGTTCATCAGCATAGCGAGGTTCTCCCTCCAGGATCTCCAGCGAAGTTCTGGTCAGGATCTCCAACCAAGTTCTGGTGCCATGTTCTCTCGCTAGGTTCTCCAGCCAGGTTCTCCAGGTTCTCCAGCCATGTTCTGTCTAGGTTCTTCAGGCAGGTTCTAGCCCAGATCTCCAGTCAGGTTCTGTCGCCAGGTTCTGTTTCTAGGTTCTCCTGCCAGGTTCTATCCAGTTTCTCCCGCCATGTTCTGTCTAGGTTCTCCAGCCAAGTTCTGTAGCAAGGTTCTGTCCAGGATCTTTTGCCATGTTCTCTCCCTAGGTTCTCTCTCTAGGTTCTGTCTCTTGTTGACGGAGTGGGCGAAGAAGGAATGACACAGAGACAGCCTTCAGTTGATCAGCAGCCTAGTCAGGACCTCTAGCCAAGTTCTGGTTCGGATCTCCAACCAAGTTCTGGTGCCATGTTCTCTCGCTAGGTTCTCCAGCCAGGTTCTCCAGGTTCTTTAGCCAGGTTCGGTCGCCAGGTTCTCCTGCCATGTTCTGTCTCTAGGTTCTCCAGCCAAGTTCTGTAGCCAGGTTCTGTCCAGGATCTTTTGCCATGTTCTCTCCCTAGGTTCTCTCTCTAGGTTCTGTCT